AATTTACATCCCAATCACAAATTTACATCCATACTGAACAGTGGGTTGGTTCTCTTTTCCCCACATTCTCACCACATTTGCTGTGTGTTTTCTTGATGATAGGCACTGGGATGATAGAACTGGGCTGATAGACTGGGATGAGATGGAATCTCAACACAGTTTTGATTCCCCTGATGGATGAAGATAATGAGCATTTTTTTCATATATGTATAGATCATTTGTGCTTCTGTTAAGAACTGTCTGTTCAATTCATTATCATTCATATTGTATTAAAACTCCATCCTTATGACTACATTTAACCTAATTACATTGTTAAAAGTTCCCATATCCAAACAGAATTAAACTTGGAGTTAAGGGCCTCATCATATGAATTTGGAGAGACACAACTCTCTCCATAACAGCCACCATACTCCAAGCTACCATTTGTGAGCTATTTAAGAATGAAAAATGATGCAACACATTGATGAAACCTGGCCTTTGTTACAGCGCACACCATATTTATTACATTTACTTATCTCTGGCTCAAATGTAATGCATCAAAGGAGTTTATCAAGAAATCAGATTGGATCCCCTTCTCCTCTTGGATTCTGATTCCTTCCGTATTTTCCTGATAATTTTTTAATAACTTCTTCTCAGCAATTCCAAAGATAGAAGGTCCTGTATTCTCTCCAATTGACAAACTTAGTGTGATCTAAAGATTTGTTCAATATCTGTCCTATTTACTGTCCAATGTTATTTTATCTCCTCCAGAATCTGTAATATGAATTCATGCACATATTAGTATACTAGTAGAGGTATGCATTCTAAAAATAGCACCTCTTACTCTTAGATCACCATTAGAAACTTTGGACATGACATAAAAAGCACGTAAACCTGAATACACTAGAGAGTAAAAAAGAACTCAGAAATTACAGTATAATAGTCACTTGGAAATAAGAGAACAATATTGGGGGAATTTCCTGCCTTTAGGGCTTTTCCCTTGCAGGCAAATGTGGGATAGTTAAAACAGTAAGCATCAAGATTATGCTTACTGATTTGAAGAACATGAAGAATGCTTTGGGACCCTATCTGAAACTGGAAAGTGGTCGGAGAATGTATGTAGAGGAGAAATCTATAGAATTAAATCCCATATTATATGTATAAATTCTGACCAAGTTTGTAAACTGTATACATTTGAGATAGACACGAAGTAGCCCAGAATATTTTACCAGAACTGAATAGAGATTTAAGCTTCTGCATCTGCCAGGGAAGAACTAGGAATTTTAGTACAACCAAGTTAATTGCCTTAAAAAATAGTCTTCAGAAATAAATAGAATACAGAATCATTATATCTCATCCACATTTTCCAGGATACCATGCAAACTTATTTAAAATGCAAAAATAGAAGACAACATGATCCAAACTCAGGAGTGAGACAGTCAGTGGAGACTAACACCAAAATAAAACAGATGTTAGATGTGGTAGACATGGATTCACTAAGATATTATTTTCAGGATAAAGGATGTAAAAAAGTTACACAATTATGATGATGAACAAATTGAAAATATCAGATGGAACTATTATTTAAATGAAATACCATTACTAAAAGCTACAGTGACTGAAATAAAAATGAAGTAGGATCAGCCTAAGAAAATTTAAGAATCATAAAAGAAAAACTACATGAACTTACATATTGAACATTAAAAGTTATATAGTCTGGAAATAATGAACAGAGCCTACCTGTAGAAAAGTATTAAGAAAATAAAACTCGCATAAATCACAGAAGAGTCACTAAAATGCAACAATAATGAACTACCAAACCAGATGGGTTCATAAGCACATATGGAGGCTAACATCTCTAACAAACTTTGACTCAAAATCCTCAATTAAAAACTAGCAAACCAAATTCAACAGCACATTTAGAAGAATCATAAACCATTAACAGGTAGAACTTATTTCTGGTATTTGAAGATGGTTCAATACATGCAACCCAATCAATGTGATAAAGGAGAATAAAGATATGAAAGGGAAAATAAGCCAGGATCATCTTGACAGATACAAGAAAAGCATGACAATTTTTTGACAAAAAAATTGATACAGTTTTAAAAATCTCACAATAATTAGGTAAACAAGAAAGTTATCTGAACACGATAAAGATAATATATGAAAACCCCACTGTAGCTCAAGTGGTAGAGGACTGTTAACATCAATCAGTGGAGGAAAGTGAAAGCTGTGTCATCTAAAATCTAGTACAAGGAAAATATGACCCCTCTCACTACTTCTATTCAACATAGTAGTAGAATTCCCAGCTATAGAAATTAAACAAGAAATAGAAAAGGCAACCAAATTGGAAATTACATATATTTGGAGGTATACATCTCTATGAAACATGATCATATATTTAGAAAACATGATCATATATTTAGAAAACACTAAATACAAAAAACCAGTTCATAAACCAATAAAGTTGAAAGATACATAATCAACATACAAAAATCAGTCATAGGACTATGCAGAAACAAATAATTATCTAAAATGGAAATGGGAATGGGGTGGGGGGAGGTGGCATGAACAATGTATATACATGTAAGTAAATGTAAAAACAATAAAAGAAGAAAAAAATTTAAAAAATAAAATGGAAATAAAATAATATCATTCATTCACAATATCAATAAAAAGAAGAAATTACTTAAGGATAAACTTAACCATAGAAATGAAAGCCAGGTGATTGCAATCTTAGCTACTTAGAAGGCAGAGATCAGGAGGATCATGGCTTGAAGCTAGCCCAGGCAAATAGTTCACAAGACCTTATCTCAAAAAAAGAAAACCTCACAAAAAAGGGCTGGTGGAGTGGCTCAAGGTGTAGACCCTGAGTTCAAGGCCTAGCACTGAAAAAAAAAATTAATAAAAGACTTACATACTCAAAATTATAAAACACTGATGAAAGAAATTAAAGAAGTCCAAGATAAATGAAATGATAGCTTGCAATTATAACTTGGAAGAATTAATATGTTCCCTCTCATATGCAGAATCTAGTCTTTAAAAATGAATAACAAGAATGTAAAACAGGTTCCTTTTTGGGATGGGTACCAGCCAAAATGGAGAGGATAAAAGGAAAAGGTAAAGGGGTGGGGGTGAATATGATCAAAACATTTTATACGTATGTATGAAAATAGAATTATGAAACCTGTTGAAATAGTTTTATGAAGGGCAGAAGGGATTGAAGGGGAGGGGAAAAAATCTCCGTACTACCCAATATTATTGACAAATTCAATGCACTCCCTAAACAGCTCCCAGTGGCATTCTTTCAGAAGTAGAAAAAAAAAAATCCCAAAATCCTCATGGAACAAAGACTCCTAATCAAAGCTTAGCCTCATTTACCTTAAATGTACTCTGAACACTTACATTATCTTCTAATATATTATCATGTAACACAAAGCCTATTTTATAATAAAATGCTAAATATCTCATATAGTTTATTGAATATTGTACTAAAAGTGAAAATAATGTGTGGGTCTGCTTTTGCACCATTGTACAAGTCAAAAAAAATCTTAAATTGAGTCATCATAATTTGATTCTGGACTCTTGTTATCTGATTCTGAGTCACAGTGTGATCCAGCAACCTGAAAAATGGAGACTTACCTAAGCATGTAATAAAAAATGGTTTTCAGTGAAAGAATTATTATGTAAGTAGAAAAAGATGTTAAATCAACTTATATATAGTATGCTCACTTACAGAGGCTATTTTTGTTAGTTTTGAAAGTCTGCTTATGAATATGGGAACCATTTCTTTTGCAACGCTGGATATGGAACTCAGGGCCTTACCCATGCTAAGCGAGTACTTCTACCACTGAGATATAACCCCAGTCCAAGTGCAATCCTTACCAATGAAGAAATATTTATTATTCAATAAGATGAAATTTAAACATTATTTGTAATCCTTTAATCAAGTTTTTCTATTTCTAAGGTAAAAGCAATGATAATAATAAAGTAAATTAATATTCATCCTTAACATTATTTCAATTCACATTGAAAATTAATAGACACCTAGATGAGTGTAGATGAGCTACAAAATGAGGAAGTTATTATAAATATTATATTATTTAATTACTGCAATTGAGTCAGTATTTTTATTTCCAAAAGAAACTGAACCTAATTAAATTTTATTACCTTAAAGGCAAGTAGAAGCATATGTATGATAATAATATTCTATCTGATTTCAAAGTTGAGGGTCTTAACCATCCACAGTACACATCATCTACATCTTTCACCTGCAAGAACACCCTGGCATTAAGCAGTTCAACCTTCAACCTGATGGCATTACCTTGTCTTGCTACTGTTTCCTTAATGGCTATATGGGCTAAGAATTCCAAACCATATTTCTTGCCACCTAGGGCTGGCCATTGATTCTCCAGTCTCGTTCTATAGATCACCATCTTCTTGTTCTCCCTCTTACTGCATCCTAAGAAATCTGGGCCATGTGTTCTCTCTGGGCTTTAAGTAGAAATGCTATCTCTGCTGGGAATGACACACCCATTCTTATCCTATTTCCTCCACTCACTAGCCATGGACTGTTGGGGGAATATTTCATAGGTTTATAGATTCTTTTAAACCACAAAATAGGAGTTCCATATACATAAGACTTGTGTTTGAACTCAGGGTTTCACACTTGCAAAACAGGTGCTCTACCACTTGTGCCTCACCTCCAGCCCATTTTGCTCTGGTAATTTTTGAGATGGGGTCTGGGAAACTATTTCTCTGGCTGGCCTCAAACCATGACCTTTTCAATCCAAGCCTATCACATAGCTATGATTTAATTCATGAGCTCTCACATTATATTTTTAAAATTTAGCTGGGATAAAGATACTTTATGTAAACATATTTTATGAATTATATATACATTCCTACATGTACAAGTATGAGAGCTTATGCATATAATTCCGATCTCAAATGCTTTCTTTTTCATTCTACTGGTAAAAGGAATTACTGTATATCTACAGGCTTACAAACTGATGTGGGCTCTGTGAAGAACTTATAAAACATACTATCTCTAACTTATAAAGCATAATTCTCTAAGAAAATTTTGTGTTTTTGCTATCCTAGGTAGGTCTATTACTTATTCTAAGATTTTTGTTCACTCAGTTTGGTTTTTGGGGATAGAGGGTGCAAGACTGGGGTCTGAACTCAGGACCTCATGCTTAGAGGCAGGTATTCTACTGTTTGAGCCATTTTGCCAGCTCTCATTCTTAGCTTTAAATTAGTTTAAAAACAAGAACAAGAAGAAGAAAGAAAAGTGCTTGAATTGGTAGCTAACAACAATACACTCAAGTACTTTACCACAGGAAAAGTTTTGAACACCAAAAGACTCTACCTTTTTATTAAAATCCATGACTCCCTGCATTGAATAGATTATGGAAATTCATACTTTTTCAGTTCTAAACTTTCCTAATAAAGGCTTCCTTCCTTCCTTATTTATTTATTTTGGCAATGCTGGTATTTAAACTCGGAGACTCATGCTTACTAGGTAGATGCTCTACCACTTGAGCCACTTTGCCAGTCCTTTTTTGTGTTGGGGGTTTTTGAGACAAGGTCTTGCTGTTTTTTGGAGGTTACCTTGAACTGCAATCCTACTGATCTCAGGCTTCCAAGCAGCTAGGATTGTAGGCATGAGCCACCAGTACCCAGCTAATAAAAGACCTTAAAAACAGTACCAACATCAGTATAAAAAGTTTGATGAAATTAAGCTAGAACTGAAATTGTCTTGATGGCAGAGTTTGGGAACTTACAAAATGAAACTTCAGTAGAAACGGTTATAATTATTATGAAAGGCACAAATCTATTGCCTAAGACAAGAGCACAACTTTTAATTTTTAGCAATCATCACAGCGAACATTTATTATTCTGCACACAACAGTTAAGTAGGTATTTTATATTTACTGACATTTAAATTTACACAATGATCTTAGGTACAATTTCAAATACCAATTCATATATAGGAAAAAAACCAGAACTCATCATTATACATAATCCTGTCAGGATTTAAACTCAAACACTCTGGACATAACTCTTCATTATGATTATATCTATTGCTTATGTGTTCTTCTCCTTGACTACTTGATGAACTTGGCGAATCCTGGGCAAACTGACATACATTCAAAAACTCTTTAGTTGGTGGTGGTGGTGTTCAAGAGAGTGATTCATATGGATTGTCCTAAGTAACATAGATGGGTGATAACAGGCTTTGCCAAGTCTCTTCAGACCAGTGATACAGGGAAATATGGAGAAATGGGAGGACATGGATGCTATGCCAAAACTTTTCCATCTTTGAGAGGGATTAGATGTTTTCCTTTGAGAATATGAAAAACACTAAATGGGCAAATAAGTATCTCTCTTATTTCAAGCCAGATATACTACGCATCTCAAAGATGTATAAAAGTTCTCAAGTAAAGAAGGGAGACTACAAGGAAGAGATGGTCTGAATGGTACAGATGCTCTCAGATGCAGGAGATGAGCCTCAAGGCAAGGAGTACAAGAAGTTGACCAAGGAATGAGATAATTCAGGAGCTTGGTGGGCACAGAGTCATGGGGGCTGGACAATCCCAAGGATTGAAATATGGATAAACAGGCTGAGAAAAGCAACATTTAGAGAACTTGTAGATGAGTGACCCATGATTTGTGACATTGAAAAATGAGGTAGTGCCTCCATCATAGTCGAGGAAAACTCCAACACGATGGGGAGGAATAGCCATAAAGAGGGTCAAAAGTGTTGGATAAGAGGTGGGAGAGTCCTCAAAGGCGTTATACTTAAATTTGTTTTGTAACCCTATAACCCAGTAGCCATTTTGAGGTCTGTATCTGTAGTAAACATCTGGAAAATCTGTGCCTGGTCTACCACTGTTCTTTATAGAATGTTTTCTACTGTATACTCCAAGGATCCAGGCAGTTTTCTTGGATACATCTATTTCCCAGTAATGTTTCCCTGAGGAGAAATATTGGGAGCCTAAGATACAATAATTAGAACACTTAACTGGCCAAATTGGCACAGATTTCACTTGTCGCTGATCTTCTGAAAGGACAAGATTCAAATTTAGGTTGACTGGATTCAATGTGAAGTCCACTGCAGGGAATAAAAACAAAAAATGATCAGGTAACAAATATGGAGTTAGTATATCAGGTGACATTGTTAAGAGGGAACTTGGGAAATTACTCAGAAAAAAATTTGTGTTGATGGATGGAGGAAGGGGTGAAACAATAAAGAAATGCTTTTAATTTAGATTCTTTTTTTTGACATAGGGTCTTACTATATAGCCCAGGGTGGCTTGAACTCACTATGCAGCCTAGACTGGCTTTGAACTCATGATTCTCTTCCCTCAGCAGCCCTCACCCCACCCCTGTGCTAGAATTACAGGAGTGTACCACCAAGCCCACCCTTAAAGAAAAGAGAAGTATATTATGCATATGTAAGAACGCATAAGACTAAGAAGATAAGGTCTCATTGACACCACCAACATCTGAAAGGTGATCAGGACACAGTGATTTGAAGACCCTGTAACTTCTTACCCCAGTAGCACCGGACATTTGTTAGCTCTGAAATGATAAAAGATGAAATGATTTTAATTAGAAGGAAAAAGAAAAAAGAATGAAGCACTGATACTCATCTGTTTTCTAAAGCAGAGACAAGGGAGGGGAGAACTGGAAGGCTGTGAGCTGGAAAACCAGACAATAAAACAAATAGCTAACCATTCTTCATTAGATATACCTGCATCCTCTTCATCACAGAATACCCCTTCTCTGACATCCCTCCTCTCTTCCATCCTCACTTTTAAACTATACCAGCTACACAATGTATTCCTTGAAGCCACAAGAATCCATATTCATACTCTTTCTCCTGCTGTCCTCACCTTTAAACACTTGCCACATCCCCCTCAGGTCTGGTGCATGGAACACAATCTTCAGTTTCTTGGGAACAGCTTTTGGCTTCTTCAGTGTCCAGCACTCACACCTAAAGATGACAAAATATTTCAAACCCCACATTTTTCATCCTGAGTCTCTCTCACACATCTGCCTTCCTCTCTTTCCACATCACTGATGTACTTGCTACCTCTTCACTGAGGAGCCTAAGGAAAAACCTTGACCTTAGATTCAGAAAAATATGCTTGTGTGAAAAATCCTCCCATTTTCTCTCTGTGCGACCTTGGAAAGAGTTTCATCTCTTGAAGGCAGTTACCTCTTCTAATAATGCAATGATTGCTATAGGCGCTGGTGGCTCACACTGGTAATCCTAGCTACTCAGGAGGCAGAGATCAGGCAGATCATGGTTCAAGGGCAGCCCAGGCAAATAGTCGAGAGACCCTATCTTGAAAATACCCAACACTAAAAAGGGCTGGTGTTAAGTCCACTTAGGATAGCTATTATCAAAAAGACTAGGGATAACAAACAAGTGTTGATAAAGAGGTGGAGAAACTGGAATTCTTCTACACAATTGGTGAGAATGTAAAATGGTATAGTTGCTATTGCAAAGAAAACTTAGAGATTCATCCAAAAATTAAAAATAGAACTAGCAATGAAATAGAGCAAAGCAATTTCTTGCAATTGCTCTAAGTGGGGCAACGGGGTTGAGGAGGAGACAGTGGTGGTGATCTAACCAATGGACACTATACGCCTATTTGGAAATGTCACAGTGAGTCCCTCTGTACACTGACTATATCCTAATAAAAAGTAACAAAAGAATAAAGATAAATTTAAAAAAATATGTAACTAGCGTGGTCCAGTAGTCCCACCTCTGGATATTTATCCAGAAGAATTGAAGTCAGGATCTCAAAGAGGCCTCCGCACTCCACTCTTCATTGTAGCCTTATTCACATTAGTCAAGTTATGGAAAACTCTCAGTGTCCATTGGTAAATGAAATGGATAAAGAAAGCGAGGTGTATACACACAATGCAGTATTATCCAGTGTTTAAAAAGTAGGAGATCAGCTGGGCGCTGGTGGCTTACACCTGTAATTCTACCTTCTTAGGAGGTAGAGATCAGGAGGATTGTGGTTCAAGGCCAGCCTGAGCAAATAGTTTGGGAGACCCTATTTCAAAAAAAAACCCCATCAAACCAGGCTCTGGTGGCTCACACATATAATCCTAGCTACTCAAGAGGTAGCGATCAGGAGGATATTGGTTCGAAGCCAGACTGGGCAAATAGTTTAAGAGACACTATCTTGAAAAAATCCTTCACAAAAAAAGGGCTGGTGGAGTGGCTCAATGAGTAAGCCCGGAGTTAAAGCCCCAGCACCACAAAAAAACAAACAAATAAAAATAAATAAATAAAGGTGGTAAGAGAACCTGCCTAGCAAGAATGAGGCTCTGAGTTTGAACTCCAGTGCACCAAAAAAAAAAAAAAAATCAGGAAATCCTAACATTTGCAACAACATAGATAAGTCAGGAGAACTGAGTGAAATAATCCAGTCATAGAAGGACAAATATTTCATGATTCCACTTAGATAAAGTACCTAAAATAGTCAAACTTATAGAAGGAGAGGGTAGAACTGTGGCTTACCAGAGACTGAGGGGGAATTGTTCAACTGGCATAAAGTTTCCATTATGTAAGAAAAATTATGTCTAGAGATCTACTGTACAGCAAAGTGCCTATGTCAACAGTACTGTAATGTGCACATAAAAATTTGTTGAGAGGGTAGATCTTATGTTCAGTGTTCTCTCCAGAAAAGGAGGACACCAGGAAACTTTTGCTTGTGATGGTTATGGTGATGGTTTCATAGGTTTATGCATATGTCCAAACTTACTAAATCGTGTACAATAATTATTTCTGGTTTTTGTACAGCAAATATACCTGAATAAACTATTAAAAAATAAAAATAAAAAGGGCTGGAAAGGGAGGTGGCTTTCCAGAAGAGTGTCTCAAGTGGTAGAATGCTTGCCTAGCAAGCATGAAGACCTGAGTTCAAATCCCAGCACCACTAAATAATAATAATAATTAATAATAATAGTAATGGAATGACTTACCTTTCATTGGTGCTTCATGGAAATAATACAAAGTTAAATGAAATAATACACTGGAAAAGCCTTTGCTACTTCTAAAAAGTTACATGATGTGGAGAACTCATCACATATCAGTAGGTCTTCTAGAGAGTGCCAGGATGTGAGCTTCCAGGCAAATCAAGTGAATTGCAGATCCTGACTATATGATGTAGGGCTCTGTTTGGAGGACCAGTGAGCCTGCACACTAGTCCAACTCCAGGTATGGCCTACATTAGAGAATTCAGATTCTTTGGGTAAAAGTTACAAACACTTGACAAAGAAGAACTGATGATTCCTAAAATGAGCCTGTAAGGAATTTGATGCTTCCACATGGGTTGTAACTAGATACAAGGACTACACTTTTCCATATGGGCTTCTAAAGTAAACAAAAAGAGATTAACTATTGGCAACCTGCATCAAAGCTACTAGCCTAAGACTTGGGTCTGTTTTCAGAAATCTAGGAAGAATTTTGTGAAATGACCTGCTCTCTCTCTTCTATTCTCACATAAGCAAAGAAAATATAAAGGAGTTGTCCTCATGGCCTATTTTAGGATTTGACAAGGTCCTCTATGTGGTAAGACAAGCACCCATGAAATAAGGGATCCAGAACTATATGTAGGGACTGAAGGTAAATTAGAATGAACTCACAAAAGTTTGATTGTGAAACCCCTTATCCTTAATATCCTTTCTGGTTCTAACTCTGAACTTCAATCACCAAGTTCACTACCATTGAATCAGGTCCATTCTCAGTAGGTACGGAATACTCAAATCCTCACTGATGACCAGCAGTTTAAATATACGTATGAAAACAGTATAATGAAACCCATCAAATGCTGAAAAAGGGGGAAGAGGAAAGGGGGGAGTGGGAATATGATGGAGAAGGTGAACTTATTCAAGGTATGTCATATGCATATATGGAATTATCACAATGAAATTCTCTCATACTATTAATGCATTATAATTCAAAAATAATTTTAAAAAGAAAATGCAACATCCAACTTTCACTGACCTAGAGATTTTTTTAAATCCTGATTAAATATTTCTAATGGCTACAAACCTTTCTTAAACACAAAAGCACAGCTCCTAGTCATGCATACTTACCACTTCATGATTCCACTTCTGTCCTAGGAAGAAGAAAGTACAAATCAAAAAGTTTTGTGGGTTAGGCAGGATTAATGAGAGAATGGAGAAGTGAAATAAAATCAGAGAAATCAAAAATTAGTTATTTTAAAATATCAACAAAATTGACAAACTTTAAGCTAGACACACCAAGAGAAAATGAGGAGGTGAATTATTCAAATCAGGGATGAAGTATGCAACATTACTAGTGGCCTTAAGGAAATTAAAGAGAATTATAAGGAGCTGGGGGTATAGCTCAGTGCCAGAACACTTTCCGAGCGTGTATGAGTCTCTGTATTATATTCCCAGAACCACACATACACAAAAAGAGTTGCAGAATGTGAACACTTACATACAAACATATTAGATAAGCTAGATAAAATAAACAAGTCACTTGTTGGTATACTGACAAAATATATAAACTAAATGAAATGAACAAATTCCTACAAGTACAAAAACAACCAATGAAGACAAAAAAAATGGATAGTCTTAGAACATGAAAAGAGATCAGACCAGAAGTCAGACTTCCTACAAAAAAATAAAAGGCCAGACACTGATGGTTTCACACCAGTACTTCATAATTCTTCCAAGAATAGAAGAGTTTTTAGAACATTTCAAAATTCATTATACAGTGCCAGTCCTACAGGGAAACTAAAATCACAAAGACATCATAAGAAAAGAAAACACTGGCCAATATTCTCTATGAATGTAGACACAAAATTCTCCAAAAAATATTAGAAAATCAAATCCAGCAAAATAAAAAATAATGGTCATTCTAATCATAACTAAGTGGGATTTGTCCCACAAATGTAAGTTTGATTCAGCACAAAAAAATTGATCAGTGTAATACACCACATTAATAAAATAAGGAATAAAAACCATATGATGATCTCAAGGAATATTTAAAAAGCACTTGACAAAATTGCTAATACCTTTATGATGAAAACAATAGTAAAGATATCAAACCTGAAATAGAAGGGAGCTTCTTCAGCCTAATAAAGGTCATCTCCAAAAAACACAGAGCTACCATCATACTTAATGGTGAAAAACTGAATGTTTTTCTCTTAAGATCAGAAAAAAAGCAAGAATGTTTGCTTTCACTACTTCCATTCAATATAGAATATTATTAGCTATAAAGAGAAAAGTAACAACACATTCTTACATTAGGAGATCCTTCCTACCTCCAGAAGCTCTGTTGTTGACCACTGACTCCGACACTCCAGATCTGAGATGAGCCCTTTCACCAACTGGTTCTGCTGAGCCAGCTCATCCTCAGCCTCTGCCAAGTTATCCAGTATCTTCTTCTCCTCTTCCTCCAACCTTTTCAGCTCCCTCTGCTCCTCACCGTCCAGGATGCTTCTAAGCTGATTAAATTCTGTTTGTATCCTTTGCCTTTCAGTCTGTATCTGATACTGTAAACATGGACAGAAAGAGATGTGATGAGTCTGTCAGGCTCTAGGCCTATGTACAAGATATAGGAACCAAATGGGAAAAGACATTTTTCAGAGACTTCAACCCAGGAAGGTTATAGAATCAGAGAGCAATTTCGGTGGGGAGCTATTTTTTCCTACTATTTTTCCTTCAATGCCTACTAAAACAATGATCTCAGCCAGTCTTATCTAGGTTAACCATCAGACAGAAATAAAACTTGTAGACAGCTGTCCTGGACACCCATGACTTACTGCATTGCCACATTCCCAGTTTTGAACCTTGAGGAAAACTGGTCTTTTGCCCAGTGTCTTCCAACAGAAGCATCAGAGACTCGTTGAAAAGAGAAACAGAGCACAGTACTCTCCATCCTTCCCTACCATACAGTCCATCTTTGTGCAAGTCTATCTCCAGCCCTTACCCCCAACAAAGAAATAATCAAATGTTTTCTGGACTTATTCAATGTCAAAGAACAAAGACTAAGGGGACTACTTGGATTAGGACCAAAGGCCCTGCTAAGATTCCTGCCTCAGAATCCCTCAGGAAAAAAATCTCCTCTTGCCTTCCAAGAAATTCTCTGTTCTCTGATGTCAGCTTCCAACTTCTCAGCTTCCTGTTGCTCTTTCCTCAGCCTCTTGAGAGCTGCCTGAAGCTTCTCCTATAAAGAAGAAATCACAATAGTAAAGATTAGAGATTTTCCAGCATCTGGACAGATGTTTAGTGAAAAAGAAATCAAGCTGATCTCAGAAGAGACCAGTTTATAGAAACTGAGGTTGATGCTTAGAGTCTATGATATGAGAGGAAATCTGACGAGGTAAATGTATTTTTTATCCCTGATGGATGGAAGTCATCATCTTCTTATCAATAGGAGCCTGCATCTCTCTTTCTGTACAGTAAGTACTGCCCTGCAACAGTGAAGTCCTTTCCTCTTTTTGATGCTCTTCCCATATCCATCTACAATGTTGTCCAGCAATCTCCCTGCTAAGAAGAGCAATGAAAGCTAAACTTGGTAAAGGATTTCCTCAAACCTCTGACTTTTGTCCAAGAGACCCTTTATGCAAATAAAAGGAAATCTCAGAAATGTACTCCAGGCATTGAAAGCTGAACATAAGGTAAGGGACATACCAGGACTCAGTACTTTGGTATCAATATTAGTTTTAAAAGGATGGAAATATGAGATTTCTTACCAAGGACCATTTTCTGCCCTGTCTCTAGGACCCTACCTGACATTCCTCAACTGCTTCTTCAAGGATGAAGGTATGGTGACCACGGTGCTGCTGAGAACGCTCACAAAGCCAGCAAATGACCTTCCTATCTTCCTTGCAGAAGAGTAGAAGTTTCTCTCCATGACGCACACAGAAATCTCTCTGATTCTCAATGTCAGGCTTCAACTTGACTTCCTTGAGTCTCTCCACTATGCCAGCCAGATGCTGATTTGTCCATAGATTTTCAAGTGAGTATCTGATACCACATACAGGACAGCTGCTTTCCTCTGCTGAGCTTATCATTGCCTTCTTATTGTTCTCGGTGATGCAAGCTTGGCAGAAACTGTGGCCACACTCTAGACTCAGGGGTTCCGTCAAAAGCTCTAAGCAGATGGGACAAGTCACCTCCTCCGACATGTTCATCAGGATTTTTGAAGCCATCACACTACTCCCCTGGCTTCTTTCTATCCTAACTTCTGAGGCTCTTCTTGCTTAAAGACTATTGGGTGATTCAGCAGATTAATACAGGATGGTGTAGTGGCAAGTGAATGGTACCCACTAATTGCTAGCTTCTGCAGAGAGCAGCCACAGCTTAAGGTGGATGGTGGTGGAAAGCACTGAAGTTTCAGTTGCAAACAGACAGAACCTAAAAAAAAACAGAAAAAATGTGAGAGAGACAAAGTGCTCCAGCATGGAGTGTGCAAGAAGTAGCACAGCAGAAGGTGGGGGTTGAAGTGAAAGACACTCAGAAAACACATTTAAAACAGGTGCGAGCACTGTGTGAAAGTGCAGTATAACCAGAGAGTGGGCCTAGAGTCTGCAGAGCGCACTGGCACTGAGACAACTGTCTCTTCTTCCTGGTATTTCATGGTGGTGGCGTGTGGGCAGCCATCTTGTGTAGTCCTGTCTGAGCTTGTGCCTTTAGAAGTCAAAGAGCCCTGTACTTTCCTGTCTTTGGGAACCCATAGCAAGTGTCATACACTGATTCAGTGTGTGTTGACCTGGAGAGCAAGTCTAACCAAGGCATTAACACCTTGAATCAGAGCCACTGAGAGCTCCAAACCATGGGAAATCTAGCTAAGACACAAAAGGGAGCATAAGTATTTCCCCATTTGGAGACATCAGTTTGGGAAGGAAGCTCTGGGAGGTTGGAGGGGTGGGGGAGAAACAGTGACAGTCCTTGGAACTTTCTCCAAATAAAAGACATAAAGGGCAACATTCAAGTCATTTCCTATTTCTCATCAGTTCATAATGAGATAAAAGTAGAGAATCTACAGAGAAAAAAGGTTGAAAGTGGGTTGGTGGGTTTAATTCAGGCAAAGCTAAATCATCCAAAGCACGAATGGGTCTGACCAGACTCTGACAACTTGCAAGACTAGGGTTTTAACATGATATTGTAATAACTATCTGTGTGACTGAAGCCATAAGACAACCAACCTCTGTTGCCTTTTCTTCTACTCAGTATTTTATCAATGCTGAGGAACACTGAGATCCTACAGAGAAGAAAGTAGTGGAACATGCTGTGATCCATGTTTACAGTGGGCTGCAAAGTGATTTCAAAGCCACTGCTGTCATTACAGTCCAAGAGTGAGGCAGATCTATAGGAATCTAAGCCCCACATGTGCAGAATGACACCACAACTGCCCAAGAGCGACCCAAGCCCAGCAGCAGTCAGGGAAGTAGAGAAGGGAAGATGAGTGACATCAGCCTGATAGAATCCCCAGGTCACCTGGTTACTGCTAAACCAAAACTCTTAAGACCTCTGAAGCTATTACAGATCTTTGCCAAAGAGAATCGGTCCTGGAACAAGCTATCAGCTTCCCTTAACTACCAGCTACAAACTCAGGAAGATTGCACCTTCTCCTCCCCATTACTCTATGCACAGAGTTCCAGGAAATCAACCACTTCTTGGAGTCCAAGGATAAATCTTAATGACCCTTTCTCCAAGATTCGTAGCTTTTTTTTCTTTTTGGTGGAACTGGGATTGGAACTCAGTACTTCATGCTTGCAAACCAGGTGCTCTACCACTTGAGCCATACCTCCATTCCATTTTGCTATGGTTGTTTCGAAGATGGGGGTCTTGCAAACGATTTTCCCTGGCTGGCTGGGAAATGCCATCCTCCTAATCTCAACCTCAGCCTCCCGAGTAGCTAGGATTACACACGTGAGCCACTGGTGCCCGGTCAAGATCCCCAGCTAATTAGTCGATATATTTTAAGGTCTTTTTTTTAACATTTTCATTAAGCTACCCCTAATCTTCTCTTTTTCTCTCATTTAGTTCACCAGAATATTCTGAGTGTGTTTTCTTCAAATTAGTTTGAAATATTTCCACTGCCACCACTCTTCTGCCTGGATTCCAGGAAATTTTTCTCCCTAGGCTGATACTTTCTCTGATCTTCCTGCTCTGCTCTCATCACTGTTCTTAGGTTGTTCACTGCAATAATCTTTCTTTAGTTATTTTTGTTGTGGTGGTCCTGAGGTTTGAACTCAGAGCTCTGCACTTTCTAAGCAGGCACTCTACCACTTACTTGAGTCACACCCCCAACCTTTTTTGCTTTAGTTACTTCTTTTTTTTTTTAGGTGGCACTGGGGTTTGAGCTCAGGGACTCTTGCTTGCGAGGCAGGTGCTCTTACCACTTGAGCCACTCCAACAGCCCTATTTTTTGTGATGGGGTTTTTGGAGATAGGGTCTTGAGAACTATTTGCCTGGGCTGGCTTTGAACCTCGATCTTCCTGATCTCTGCCTTCTGAGTAGCTAGGATTACAGGCATGAACCACCAGTGCCTGGCTTGCTTAGTTACTTTTCCAGAAGGGTCTTGTGTTTTTGCCTGTGGTGGCCTCAGACCTTGATCCTCCTAGCTATTGCCTCCTGCATAGCTGGGATGACAGGTGCACATCACCATACCAGGCTTTTTGATTGAGATTGGGATCTCGCTAGCTTTTTGCCTGGGGTGGCCTTGAAGCAAAATCCTTGAGATCTCCACCTGCCAGGTAGCCTGGCTTGCAGGCATGAGCCACCAAACCTGACTGCAATAATCCTCTTTTTTTTTGCAATAATCCTCTTAAAGCAGGCATTCCTTTGCCCAAAGGCAAGTCATCCAGAGTGAGGCCAGCCTTAGTAACAGTCCATTTTAGATCCACATTCACATACTCTTACTGCAGCATGCCTAACCCTCAAGGTCCTTCTTTCACCCTCAGGGAAAACCAACCTGTGTTAAGGACTTTAAGTTCCTCACACTTTTAATATTCTATTAACAGTCTCACAAGGAGGCCTTCATTACAACCATTCAAAATTGAAAGACCTTACTTACCAGTTCTCTTCAGAGTCTTCGCCTAATTCAACCTTTTAAAAATGTAACTCCACAGTATTATTTACTTTTTATATATTCTATCAATTATTTGTTTATTTTTGTTGCTAAAATAGAATACAAACTCTTCTATTTAGTTCATATTTTTTGAATGTTGAATGGATGCTCATAGCCTGTTATGGTTCATTTGATTAAATTTATTTATAAATTAGTAAGTAAATCCACAGTCTCCTATGTGTTTGGCCTTGGCTAAACTCTGGGGAGAAAACTGGTACTTTCAGGAGGAAGGTACAGACTCATAGCAAGGCAGTTAGGATGAACTCTGCAGAATTCAGGTGTCAATGTACCTAGCACATCCATCAAGGTGCAGGTTGGCGAGGCCCTAGCCCATAATCCTAGCTACTCAGGAGGCAGAGATCAGGAGGATCTCATTTTGAAACCAGGCCTGGGCAAATAGTTTGCTAAGACCCTATCTTGAAAATGACAAACACAAAAACAGGTTTGCCAAGTGGCTTAAGTGGTAGAGCACCTGCCTAGAAAGCATGAGGCCCTGAGTTCAAACCCCAGTAACACCAAAAAAAAAAAAAAAAAGTGCAGGTTGCCCACAAGTGGGTCTAAGATGGGAAACATTCAAGATCAACAGAAACAAAACATTTTAACAAGACTGTTGAAACCTTGGGCTCTGTCAGCAGTAACCAACTTTTGTTCACTAGCTCTGAATAAAGAAAACAGCAATGAATTGAAGTAATAATTAGTGCAAAGATGTGTACGGGAGGAAGAAGGGAAGAAGGATGAACATTTTCTAAGGCATGGAAGGATAGCAGATTGACACACACTACTAAAGTAAGGTAAGCTGGGTACAGTGGCACATTTCTGTAGTGCCAGCTGCTCAGGAGACTGAGACAAGAGGATCATCTGAACGTGGGAGGTCAACACCAGTCTCAGAAACATGGGAGAGCAGTCTCTTAGCAACAACAAAAGGCTGATCAGGGAAAGCAGGTGAAGTCTTAATACTGGAGCTCTAGAAGTGCACAGAAGTAGGCAACCTGCTGCCCTCAGGCAAACCAATGGCTGAGGAGATAATCAGGAAGGTCATAGACAGTGGTTTCCAGAGAGGGAGGAAAAGACACACCTTCAATGTTTGCCATATTGTGCCCTGAGGTTCCATTTTATCTGCTGCCCTGTTTTAGCAGTCTGACTTTGACACACTTGAAATACAGAGATCCCCTTTTACCAGCTTAGAGAATTTCTGGTTATCCCTTTAGAAAAGAAAGAATATTCCAGATCCTCTTACAGGTAGAAAATCAAAACTCTAGAACAAGAAGGATGGGAATGGACTTGCCCTGAAAATAAGGGTTCAGAAACAAGATCTTCTACTTGCTTCCTCTCTTTTCAAGGCATCTCCTCCCCAGACTCAAGGCTGCCATCTCTCTGCACTCAAGGCTTTTCTTCTCAGAGCAGACCAGTCTCTGTGCATCAATTAAACTCCCCAAACTTCACTTAGTACTTTCCTCCCAGAGTCTCCCTCCTTCTGCCCCTCACAAATGTCCCCACACACCTTTGAGCCCCAACGGTGCAATCTTGGCTCCTGGTTGAAGTGGTAAAGAAAAGCCAAGGGCAGAATTCACTCACCACGCAGGCTCAGTCTGCCTGCAGTCCCTCTTCCTGCTTCCCTCCCTCCGAATTAGCTGGCTGAGAAATGAAAGTGAAATTCTTTGGGCCAACAGGAAGAGAAAAGGGGAAGAGCTTCTGAGCCAAAGGGAAGTCCTTTACCGAGACAGAGCAATACATTAACCTAGCTTCTCTTCAAAGAAGAAAGGACAATTTGAACTGGAGAATTTTCCAATGTCCAGAAGACTTTTGGTTATTATAACCACTGACATCTAGTGGGTAGAGGCCAGGCATGATGCAAAACATTCTATAATTCACAGGACAGCTGTCACTATGAAGAATTATCCAGTCCAAGATATCAAAAAAGCTGAATTTGAGAAACCCTATGTTGACTCTGCTTGCTAAGCCAATAAGGAACTCAGTGTCTTCTATCACTTTCATGATTGTGCACAGACCTTCAATCAGTGTACCAATTTGAATCATCCCCCTAGGGAAATATCTAATGTTCCATTTGTCCCCCAAAAGGAATTTACTACTCCCTATAAGATGGGAGGTTAGTGGGGAGAGGGAGCAGTGCTGAGAAAGGTTAACTTACAGAGGACCTAGCCTTTTTGGAGTTTTGGAAGTGTTCTAAATTTTGTTTATGTAGTAGTTACACAAGTGTAAAACTTGTTCAGAACATGTCACGTTGTGCACTGTAAATGGGTGCATATTACAGCATTATAGCATGTACCTCGATAATATTGATTATAAAAGAAAATTAAGTTTTCTAGGTGATTCTTATATGAATCTGAGGTGGAATGCCACTAGTTTTAAGTGCTAAGTCAGGTCTTTTGGGTCCAGAGCAAAAAGGAGTGCTTTGAGGTTGAGGTAACCTTGATCTCACCTGAAGAGGAAGAACCTTGAATAGGAGAGTCTCTATCATACGTCACTGCCCTTCCTGGACATAGGACAATCCCAGCACATTGTTGCTTCATAACAAGCATGCTATCTTCACGAAGAAAATAAATTGATGAATTTGTATTCTGTGCTGTATTCAAGAAAATCATTGGCCCTGGGCGCAGGTGACTCGTGCCTGGAATCCTAGCTACTCAGGAGGCAGAGATCAGGAGGATCCTAGTTCAAAGTTAGCCTTAGGAAATAATTTGAGAGACCCTATCTCCAAAAAGCCCAATACAAAAACAGGTCTGGAGGAGTGGCTCAAGTGGTAGAGTGGCTGCCTAGTAAGCAAGAGGCCCTAAATTCAAACCCTAGTGCCACAAAAAAAAGCAAGAAAAGAAAGAAAAAAATAGTCACTGGAAACATAGAACAATGGTAGAGCACTTACCTAGCATACACAAGGCTCTAGATTTGGTCCAACACCACAAACAACACACAAAAAAAAGTCCTGATTTTCTACCTCCTGTAGACTCACCACATAACAAAAAGTGCCACCTTTGGAAACTGTTTGCCAAAGTACAATCATCTCTTCTGTCTCTATCATCTGATTCATGCTTGGGGATCTGAGGACAAGTCCTAGTCAGGAGGACAATTATAAATTTGCTGGAAGTTTAACAACTGCCCCTTAAAAATATCTGCATTCAATGTAGTTGGGTATACTCATTGGCCACATTTAAGGGAGTTAATTATTACTTTTTCATTCTGGTTTCTTTTCAATATTGGTATATTGGTAGTTCTTATCACATTAGACACTAAATCATTAGCCAGATTTGTTAATCATTAACTGAGATGTGTTTATTAACTTAGTTGTGTGTGTGACATCTAATTTTTCATCAATTTTGTTCAATTTTGTTTTTTTCCTTTATTTTTTCCTTATGAACTTAATAGACATATGATCAGGTCATGCGTCATGTCTATAACCTCTTTTGCTATTTTCCTTCTTTTTGTTGTTGGGGTTGTCTGTTTAAGGTTGGGTCAAAAAAAAGCCCAGGTTGGCCTGGAATCTACTCTATAGCCCAGCTCCCAGGCTTGCTTGGAACTCAGAATCCTCCCGCTTCAGCCTCCGAGTGTTAGAAGTAGAAATGTGCAGCACCACAGTGCAGCTTTGTTCCTTCCTTCCTTCCTCCCTTCTTTTGTTCCTTCCCTCCTTCCCTCCTTCCCTCCTTCCTTCTCTCTCTCTCTCTCTCTCTCTCTCTCTCCCTTCTTTTCTTTTTTTCTGAGGTTGGAGTTTGAACTCAGGTTCTTTCAAAGCAGGTGTGTTCTACTACTTGAGCCACACCTCCAGTCCATTTTGCTCTGGTTATTTTTGGAGATGGGAGGTCTCGGGAGCTATTTGCCTGGGCCAGTCTCAAACTGTGATCCTCCCAATCTCAGTCTCCCAAAGTAGCTAAGATTATAGAAGTGAGCCACTGGCACCTATCTTTCTGTCTTCCTTCCTCCTTCCTTTCTGTTTGTTTTGTTTTTTGGTGGTACTGCAGATTGAACACAGGACTTCACACTTCTCAGCAGACCCTCTAACACTTGAGTCACATTCCCAGACCTTTTTGGTTTAGTTATTTTTGTGATAGGCTCTCGTATTTTTGCCCAGGCTGACCTGGATCATCATCCTCCTATTTATATTTCTTGCATACCTGAGATGACAGACAAACGCTGCTGCACCCAGCTATTGGTTGAAATGGGGATCCTGCTAAATTTGTGCCCAGGCTGATAATCTCCCAATCTCTGCTTTTGGAACAGCAAGGATTACAGGAATGAGTTATTTCACTGGAGTGTTATTTTCTTAATAACTATCATCCAACATATGATAAAAGTAGAAAAACTGCGACTTTTGGAAGGTGTTTTAAAGTATCAAGAGTTCCTCTGGTGCCTTACTCTGCTGAGCTGTGCTACTGGCTGGCACAAATGGCCTGGAAAAAAACACAAGTTTGGTGCATTTGAGAATCTGCAAATAGAAGCCAGAAATGGTGGTACACATCTGTAATTCTAGCATGTTCAAGGCCAGCCTAGGATACACTGAGAGACCTTTGTCTCAACAAACCAAAAAGAAAGAAACAGAAAACAAAGTAAAAACAAAGTATCTACAAATATTCCCAGATGACTGTACTTGGAGGTCTAGGCAAACACTGGAGAGACAGAAAGGGGTGAACAAAGGGTCTGATACCCAAAGCTCATTTATTATAGGCAGAGAGACAGGACTGGGAAGTTATCTATTGACACCTCTATCATCCTTTTTTTTTTTTTTTGGCAATACTGGGGTTTTAAACTTGTCTCATACTTTCTAGGCAGATACTCTACCACTTGACCACTTGAACCACTCTCCCAGCCCTTTTTTGTATTATTATTTTTTTTTTTTTGCAGTGTTGTGGCTTGAACTCAGGACCTATATTTTGAGCCACTCCAACAGTCCATTTTTTTGTGATGGGTTTTTTCAAGATAGGGTCTCGTGAACTGTTTGTCTGGGCTGGCTTCGAACTGTGATGCTCCTGATCTCTGCCTCCCGAGTAGCTAGGAGTACAAGCGTGAGCCACCAGCACCCAGCTTGTATTGGGTGTTTTTGAGATAGGGTATCAGGAACTATTTGCCCAGGCTGACTTTGAACCTGGATCTTCCTGATCTCTGCCTACTGAGTAGCTAGGATTACTTTCATTTTTATTTTCTTATGAATACTCTCTGATTTTTTTCATGAATGTTAGACATTTTTATTTTTACTGACTTTTTTTTTTCTGTCCTAGAGATTGAACCCAAGGGCCTTGGATATGCTAGGCAAGTGCTCTACCATTCACCTACACTCTATTACCTATTTCCATTTTACAGAGATTATAAGCATGGAATTACAGTGTTTTTAATATTTTTAATATTTTCTTTACCCATAATGAACAACTTTTCATTTGCAATTCTATTAATTGTACTATATTTTGTCTTGTTTACATATGTATAAAATGCTCATGTACTCCTAATAAAGATTACTTGTATTACTTATTCACTATTACATTCTTTCAAAAAGCAAGTATCCGCTGTAGGATGGAGCATAGCGATTTGGAGACAGAAGGGTGGGGGTGCATTTCTTAAACCTGAAATTATGCAGTTGTTTGCACCTGGGCACCAACTAATGGTAGCTTTGTTGTAAGCTTCTGTAGTCTCTGGTCAGAAGATTCCCAAATTCTTTGTGTCCCACATGGAAGCATCCAGGTAGAACACATGGGTATAGTAAGGGAGGTAAGAGTTTATTAAAACTAAGGGAAGGCATTACAAAAGGTCATGGTAGGGACAGGTGGGAGCTGAAAGCAGAGAGAAAGAGAGAGAGAGTCTTCCTCTTTCCAGGTGCTTTTAAAACCTACCATAACCTACAGAAAGGGAAGAACCCATAAGAACCAATAATTGATGCGTGGGAGGGGCATGGGTGGTAACTGGACTGAGTGGGAGTGGTTTAAGTTGTCCCAGGGCCAGTGAGTGAATAACCTACACATATTTGCAATTGAAAAGAAGGCTCAGATGCTCAACCTCAAATGCAATATTAAGACATATATGTTTCCTATCTTAGCCTGCCTCAGTTTGAGAGTAAATGACTTAGGGCAGGCTGACCCAGGGCAGGGGAAGACTGCTGTTAGGGACAATTAATCCTGCACAGCTTGGACTTTGATCTCTCACACATTTCCCCTGAGGGAAGGGACTCTTTGTCCTCAGCAGCACACTTACTGAATGACTAGGAAAATCTGAGGCCTCTGAGAACACATGATGATCACAGAGCCAGCCTATAAAACATCATTTTTTTACTTTAGCTTCCAACAACACATTAAACAACGCAAATGCATGCATCTCCCATACTGATTGTATGAATTTTTAAACCTGACCCTCTTGGTAAAACAGCATGTTTGGCAGAAAGATAAAATTTGCTTATCTACTATGTGAGGTTTTTTCTTCTCCCAAACTTGAAGATAGTATGAGCTTTGTTATTATATCAACAACATTCTCCACATCTTATAACCACATCAAAAGGGCTCAAGTTATAACAGCAGTGGATGAGAGCTGAAACAGACTACTTTACAGAAAAGTTCATAGGAAAAGTCAAAGACAGTAAGGGATAAACAAAGAAAGATAATAGAATTTGAAACCTCTGG